TGGGAGTTTGTATTGTCATAAGAAAAACGTAAGTACTGCTCATGCATCCAATGTACTTGATGTTGTGATAATTTTCAGTTATTTTTGCTCATCTAAGTACCTCTATGTGTCGATGGAGATGCAAAAGTAATGACAACTTTTTGGACAGAGAAAATCGTACCTCACCGTCTCCTCCAGCCCTTCTCTCCAAACATTCATAAGCTCATTCTGCTAATTCACTTCCGTCCTCTGACCACATTAATGATCTGTGGTTTTCATGAGCTGTTTAACAGTGGCTTTTAGAAGAGATGCACAAAATTCTGTTTCTAAGATGATCTTGAAAATGGTCACGTTAGTAATAGAAAGTTCCATTTGCATCAAATTTGGGATAGGGACTCAACTTTCATACTTTTTGGGAGATTTATCCAAATAGACTGTTTTTGGCCCAGCCACATAACTGGTCAATGTGATCAGGAAATCTTAGAACTGAAGAGAGCATGGAATCATTAAGCCCAAGTTCCCACTTTAAAAATGTGAAACCAAGGCGCAGAAAAGTGAACTTGCCCCTAGTCACACAACCCATTTGAGAAACTTGACCCCAGATGAGCCCTTTCCTTTCCCTTATCTATCTCCCGCTGACATGCCAGCACACTCCACAATGCACGCCCCTCATTGTCTGCATATGTGCAGAAACACAGTGCACCAACGTGGTCTTTTGCTAGTGGTTCCATGGAATTGCTGTTCTTATTCTCATGGTTTAGATGTATAATTGCACTTTTAATGGTTTATTTATTTCAGGAGTATCTGTCATCTTCATTACAATGCAAGTTCCAAGACAGGGACCATATATAAGAATAACCTGTTTATATTTCCGGCACCTCTGATAATGTTTGATCCAGTAGAGACACTCATTAAATAGCACTGTGGTGATGGAATGAATGACTCAATAAAGTAACACAGAGAGGCTGAGATTCAAAGGATATAAGGAATAAACTGGGAGAAAAGACAGGAAAGAGGAAGAACTGAGTGTTTTTCCCTGTGGTCATGGTAGAGTTCTGGACTATGTGGAGAAACAAGGCTGGAGGAGTAGACAGTATTTATATTATAGAGATTTTCCCAAGCCATCTGTTCTCTCTCTCCCTACTTACTAGAGTTTCTGATACTAAATCCTGAATCTTAGTGCACTGGTAGGATTATCTATCCTAAATTCCCACTTAGTGGGTGAACAGAATTTGAACTGCACTCCATCCCAATCCCAAAAGTGTTACAGCTAAAAACTGCTACTTATTCAATACTTAATATGTACCAGGCAGTGTAGTAAGCCTTTAAAGAGATGGATTCGCTTCTCTCTAATCATTCACCTACTGTGCTCAGCTTTGCTTTAAACTGCCAATCTGACAGTCAGGGTCATATTTCAGGGACCCAAATCAGCTCCCTTGTTACCACAGTCCCTGTATTTCCTGCTGCTTCTGCTCTACTTAAGGAGACTCTAGCAGTTCTGCAATAAGGATTGAGTTGATTAACATCTGGTTGAAAATCTCTTTGCCCATATGAACCTGAGACAAAGCCATCCAAAGAGTAATTGATGGCAGAGACCCATGGTTCTCTCTAAGATGGCAACTCGAGTGCTTAGCTGCACAGATAAGATTAATAGCAGAGTGGCCTTAGAGTCAGGGATACCCAGATTTGACTCCCATCTTTATCATTTACAAGCCAGGTAACCTTGGCCAACTTTCTTTTTCTCTCTGAATCTCCATGTTTAGGTATGAAAAGAAGACAAAAATATTCCACGAAAGGTGGTTTAAGGATTTAATGAAGCACTTTAGTACAGTATCTGCCCCATGGTGGGACAAAAGCAGCTGCAGCTGCTGTTAATGCTGTATTGTTAGCCACAGGGAAGAGAAGGGCAGGCGTGGTGCAGAATTCTTACGGTCAAAAGAAGGAAGGAAAGTCCATTAAAAATAAGTGCATGCAAATCATCATTTACTGCAGTGACTGGGAGAATGGATTGTCTTGTTCATTTTACGTTCTGGGTCTGGAGGTAAATTGCAAAGTCCTTTTTATTGAAAGTTCATTCTGTCTTCCACAAATGTTTATTGAGTCCATGCTATTTGCTAGGCACGTAGGAGAAACGAGGATAAATGAGCTGCCGATCCTGCACTCACCAATACTGATTTTCTATAAATGTGAGGGAAGACACTTTTCTGCTTAAACACAGAATACCGAGCATTATTTACCTTAAAATTTGTTGAAGATGTTATAAGGGCCTCTCAGTGCCTAAGACAGGTGATGGAGAATGGAAAGGCTGCAAGTAGATATGTGATGAATTTGTTTTCTATCCATTAATATTTATATTATGGTATAAATTATTACATATTATATATAAGACTTATACAGCATTTTAATTGTTATTAATAATTCAATTTCTATACTACTTATTAAATAGGTAGTATGTGTTAATTATGTGTATATATATAAGATTAATTATACATATACACGTCATGGCTATATATATTAATTGTACATTAGACTTTGAACCTCTGGGACTGTGAGAAAAGAAACTTCTGATGTTTAAGCCACTGAGTCTGTAGGACTTTGTTACGGCAGACCTAGGAAACTGACTCAGGGAGTAACTCATTCAGAGATGGCCACAAGTTAGGTTTTGGATCAGTTGAGTGTGATGCGTTGCTTTGGGGACAGCCAGGTGGAGACAAATGCCAAAACGATAGAGATGCAAGTCCAGGACTTGGTGGGCCACTTGGGACCAGAGATTAAGACACGCCAATCATTTTGGACACTCTGGCATCCATAGCACAGTGCAAGCAGTGAAGAATAGAAAGTTGAAAAGTAGTTGAATGAATAAATGTCCTATTTGCCTAAGGACAGAGGGCAGAAAGGACTATAGGGATACTGGAATGAATTCTAATTTCCCATCCCGGTACTAGGAAGGTTAGCTCAAGCCCTGTCCATATGGAGCTGTAACTATGACATGTCTGAAGCCAGCAAATTTTAGAGAATTGCTGCATTGGTTGCTGATATTTACACTCACTAGAAAAGAGAGTCCTCTCTTTGTTTTATAAAACGTGGGAGGCAGGAGAATTAAACAAATGTCAAAGCTATTCTTAGGACAGAGAACTATAGCCTGTCCAGAGTCAGGTTCACGCCCATATTCTGAAATGTTGACCTCCAAGGGAGTGTGCCAGCAGCACGTCTATTTTAGGTAGCAACTTCGAAGACTGCTTAGCTTAAAATGTCAAAATAAGTAGACAGCATAACACAATAGAAAATGAAATAACTGGAAACCAGGAGATCTTACTTCGAATCCCAGATTTGCCTCGAAAAAGTGGGTAACCTTCACCTTTCTGAATGTCTTCTCCTTCAACTATTGAGCAGTTACGGGGAGGAGGGTAATTGGATAATCTTCTAACCCTGACATTCTATGATTCTCAAAATGTTGCCTTTAATTGCAACTGGTGATAAGATACCATTTCCATAAATTGACCTGCCAAGCTGATTTAGTCCGGTAGCATGAAGACATGAAAATAAGATGATAGACAGAAATTATCATCACAGATGACTCTGGTAGAATACTTTCCCTCCTTAAAATGGCAGATGGAACACCAGAAAGAGACAACGCCTGGCTTTAGAATGCATCTTCATTACCAGAAAATTAGGTTTTACTGGAAAATGTCTGAATACACCTGACCACAATATTTTGTCCAATGACTTTAATTTTGACCATATTGAAAAAGGATACGGAAAAATAAACCTACTCCTAACTGCATTTGTGATTTCCCCTGCACCATTTAATATTTAAAACTTGCGTTGACCTTTTCTTTATATGACGGGACATCTCGGCAACGGATATAATAAGCTCCTAAAGGGAAAAGGTGATTAGGATGTATTGAGTATCAAAGTCACATTTTCTGCCAGGTCCTTGACCTGTGTTACATACCTTATTTAACATCTCTCTGTAGAAGATGCTGTCAGCCACACCCTATCTTTTCTGTACTTAACATGCTAAAGGTTGCTAAGCGGGAGCACGCTTGACCAGAGCAAGCCAGACAGGCACAAGAATTAAAAAATACTCCAGCTTCCTTAACCATGGTTGGGATAACTCAGAGGCGTATTCTGCACTCACTCACAGGATTCCTTAGGGGAATTGAGCTCCAGTTATACATGGTAGATATGGCCTTGATAACACATCTTTTATACTGTCTTAATACCATGTTATTTCCTGAGATCACTGTCCAGGCAAAATACCTACTTTCAAATCCTTATCTCAGGTTTGGCTTCTGGGGGACCTGAACTAAGACATCTGCCAGAGCCCTGTGGAGTAGGTGGCATTGCTGCCATGGGCAGCTCAGTGTGGTTAGATAACTGTTGTTAAGTCTTGGTGCTTGCATTCGTCTGATAGCCATTGCCTTTCCCCTATGCCAGTGATTCTCAACCACAGGAGATTTTGTCCTTCCACCCAGGGGACATTTTGCAATGTCTGGACACATCTGTGGTTGTCACAACTGGGAAGATGCTACTGGCATGTAGTAGGTAGAGGTCAGGAGTGCTAAATGTCTGACAATGAATAGTACAGTCTCCTGCAACAAAGACTAATCCAACCTTAAAAATGCTGGCCAGTCACGGTGGCTCACGCCTATAATCCTAGTACTTTGGGAGGCTGAGGTGGGTGAACTGCCTGAGCTCAGGAGTTTGAGAACAGCCTGGGCCACACGGTGAAACCCCATCTCTACTAAAAATATAAAAAGTAGCTGGGCATGGCAGCATGCACGTGTAGTCCCAGCTACTCTGGAGGCTGAGGTAAGAGAATCACTAGAACCGGGGAGGCAGAGGTTGCAGTGAGCCAAGATCACACCATTGCACTCCAGCCTGGGCAACAGAGCGAGACTCCGTCTCAAAAAAAATGGCAATAGTGCCATTGGAGGAATGCTGCTCTACACCCAGCAAGACTGGCTATGATATGGTGGCTCCTATGTGTGACGTTATCTATTGTCTTTTCCTTCCAGGGCCAAGCTGTGGCTCAGCTGTGTTCCACTGTCCCCAATGTGACTGTTTTTGGAACAGCCTCTACTTTCAAGCATGAAGCAATCAAAGACTCTGTGACCCACCTCTTTGACAGAAATGCAGACTATGTGCAAGAAGTTAAAAGGTAAGATGCTTGCTTTTGAAAAAGCACCAGGCTGGCCCTTGCTCTGCTCTCACAGAGCAGTAGCACTTATTTAAAGAGGGATCATCATCATCATCATATATAGCAAAAGTATATTGGGGGCTTAGGATTACTAGCTTTGTGCCAAATACTTCACATGTATTAGTTCATTTAATCCTCTTAGCAACCCCACCATTATCACCAAGGGACAAATCGGCTAAGTAACTTGCAAAGCTAATTATTTAGACCTATTAAAGTTACGCTAGCTCCTATTTGACCATCTTAACACGTAGAAGCTTATTTCTCCTTCATTCACATGACAGCTTAAGGTGGATATTTGGTGCATGATCTTCTGTAAGAACATTCAGAGACTCAAGCTCTTTTCATCTTACGGTTCCACTATTGTCTTGGGTCTTAAGGTCCTTTGCTTCTAGCCAGAAAATGGGGAGAGAGCTCCAAAGGGTCATGAATCGGAGGTTTTCTGAGCCAGTCCCGGAAAGAACACATACCCTGCTCATATTCTGGCACTACTGCTCAGGTCATGGGCTACCCCTTACTGAAAGCAAACTGAGAAACCTTGTCAATGCATGCACCCGGAGATACCTGGCACTGGCAGTAAAGGGTGGAGCCTGGAGTCAAGCCAGGCATTTCAAGTTTGGAGCCCATGATTTTCCTGTACAGACAGCACCTCTCCAAAGAGTGAAGCCTGAGCCAAAATTACCCATAGGAAGAAAGGGGCGAGAAGGGGGCTGCTCTGGGAAGGGAAAGCCATGTGCGTGCATACTGAGGAATGGAAGTGCCTCTGAGTCTGGGAGAAATACAGCAAGGCTTACTGGGGTACAAGTCCAGGGATGTCTTGTTCTGTCATCTAATTGTAGATATTGGCAAAGGGACACCTGGGGGAAAGAGAAGGAGGGGCATGAGGTGAAGCTGGGCAAGGAGACAGGTGTCAGCTGCACATAAGACCACATGCGCCAATCTAGGAAATGTGGACTGGACTCCAACCTGGGTGAGACCAGGAGCCACTGCAGGACCAAAGTGGGGCTATGATTGATTTCCGTTTTGAACAGTCGCTGGTGGTGTGGAGAGGATGGACGGGAGGAGGGAGGCTGGGGCTGCAAGATCATTTGCTGGCTGTTGCAATCACCTGGGAGCATTATGGTTTATAACCTGTGATTCTGAAGTTATTGATCACGGCTGTGTGTGTCAACACACGGAATCAGATGGAAACCCAGCTGTCACCATGGTTTCAGATGATTTGTGTGTCTCACTCTGGCTATTGCTCTGGGCTCCACGCTTGTTCTCAGGGTCCATGCCACTCACGGCTCCTGAGAGGATTCAGATTTGGGCCGGAGCCATTGTTTTGGCATTCTCATTTTCCAACACAAAATTGTTATATACAAAAGTATTAGGTTGTCCAGATAGTATCATAATAAAGAAACAAGGCTGGGCACAGTGGCTCATGCCTGTAATCTCAGCACTTTGGAAGGCTAAGGAGGGCATATCACTTGAGCCCAGGAGTTTGAGACCAGCCTGGCCAACATGGTGATGCCCCATCTTTACCCACAACCCCGAAAGATACAAAGGTTAGCTGAGCATGGTGGTGCATGCCTATAATCTCAGCTACTCAGGAGGCTGAGGTGGGTGGATAACTTGAGCCTGGGAGGCAGAGGTTAGAATGAGCTCAGATCATGCCACTGCACTCCAGCATGGGTGACAGCAAGAGCCTTTCTCAAAAAGGAAACCATTTTCTTCAAATCACGGATGAAGGTGGGAAAACTGAAGGACAGGTGGATGGGAGAGCTGGTTATTTGCGATGACAGTTCTAGAACCAATTTGGTGAAACTTGGGAAGTTTCTTTAAAAAGAGGGGGTTCTGACGGTCTGAGTTTTCAGATTCATTTTTAAATTTTGAATGCAGGGCACTGCATATAATTTAAGGATGTCCCCATAGTTCCATCAGTATGTGAAAGGAAAGCTTAAAGCTAGATGTTAGGAGCTGACTCTCTGTTTCTCAGATGTCTACAGGCTGCAGGCCAACTCTGAAGACATCCAGTTGCCAGTTCCACAGCCTGAGAACTACCCTCAGGTAGTTCTTCCTCTTTAACTCGAGTCTCTTAAACTGTGGTCTGGAAAATGAACTATCACTGTCCCTTCAGTAATTTTTTCTTTGTCTCCCTTATGTAGTATTTTTGCAAGCATTCTTTCGTGTATTCACATATATAATTGCTTAATACACCTGTGCTTTGTGTCTGTGATGGCCTGGAGACTGTGCCAGGGCAAAAGATCCAGCAGTGCCACCTTGAGAGTCACTGTCCTCGTGAATCAGAGTCTTAACAGGGGAGAGAAGGGACCAAAAAAAAAAAAAAAGCCATCATCCTCAGCAAATTCACACAGGAACAGAAAAACAAACACCGCATGTTCTCACTCATAAGTGGGAGTTGGCAATGAGAACACATGGACACAGGGAGGGAACAATACATACCAGGGCCAGTTGGGGGGTGTGGGGCAAGGGGAGCGAACTTAGAGGATGGGTCAATAGGTGCAGCAAACCACCATGGCACACGTACACACATGTAACAAACTTGCATGTTCTGCACATGTATCCTGGAACTTAAAGTAAAATAAAATTTTTTTAAAAAAAGAAGTTACTTAAAAAAAAAACAAAACGATAAAGAGAAGTAACTGATTCACATTTTTGACATGTGCCCTGGTACCGAAATGCAAGGTGCTAGTGAACGCTTACTGATGGAGAAATCAGAAACCTTGTCAATCACAGAGTGGGATTTTGGCTGAGAGCTGAGGGGTGAGAAGCTGGTCAAAGGAAGGGCATTTCTGACCAGCAGGGGATGCCATGGGCTAGGGTCCTGGGTCAGGAAAAGTTTGAACTTAAGAACCTGAAAGGAGGCCAGTCCAGCTGGCAGAACATAGGGAGTGGGAAGAGAAGGGAGATGGTCTCTCTTCTGAAAAAGGAATAGCCCATAACTAGGGAACTCTTGCCTGCCCCATTTCCTCAGCATCCACCCCATCCTCTCAGCTTCCCACTGCCCTACGTCTACTCTCTCGGCCCCTGAATCACCGATTTCTGCTGATGTCAGAGGAGCAAAAGGCCTTTGAGACCCCCCTCACCCTCACCTTCCTACAAATGTGACTTTCCGCAGTTCATTGTTTTTTTGTTGTTGTTGTTGTTGTTTAGTTGTTTTTTTTTTTTTGTTTGTTTGTTTGTTTGTTTTTTGAGACAGAGTTTCACTTGTCACCCAGGCTGGCGTGCAGTGATGCGATCTTGGCTCACTGCAATCTTCACCTCCCGGGTTCAAGCGATTCTTCTGCCTCAGGCTCCCAAGCAGCTGGGATTACACGCAATTGCTACCACACCCAGCTAATTTTTGTATTTTTGGTAAAGACAGAGTTTCAAGGTGTTGGCCAGGCTAGTCTCGAACTCCTGACCTCAGAAGATCCACCTGCCTCGACCTCCCAAACTACTGGGATTACAGCATGAACCACTACACCCAGCCTCATTGTGTTTTTTAGTAGAGACCTTGCAATTACACTCAAAATGCCCAGTAAGTTAGAAATATGTTGACATGACCCCCCCATCCCAGCAGACCTACCCTCAGGAAATAAGAAGAGCAAAGCTATAGGTATGAGGCTGCCTGCTGCAGAGCCAAGCCCTGCTTCTGCTTCATTCTAAGTGCTCAGCACATATTGACAGAATGAATTATAGCATTGTCTGCAATGGTGAAAATTCAGAACGAGCCTCCACAATCAACAGAAGGGAAACAGTTCAGTAGATTATGCTACACCCACATACTTGAGTATTGTGCAGTCTCTTAAAAAATGATAATTATGAAGATGGCCACAAAATGAAAAAAATGCCCATGGTAGCAAAATGAGTGAAAAAAGCAGAATGCCAAATTCTGTCTACTCTGTGATCACAGGTTTGTACAAATTCTCCGTGCATGTAGACATAAAATGAAAGGAAAGGCAAAAAATCCAACCACTAACATGGAATAGGAGTGGAATGCAGAGTGATTTCTCTTTATTTTTTGATCACAGATATTGTTACCCTATTATGTGTATAATGAACCAGAAAAAAAAATAAAAAGATAAAATTTTCTTGAGATGAAAACTCTTTTATAAGCCCGTCAATCGGGAAGCCTCCGTTGAACACATTCTCAGCCTTGAGGCAGGTATTGTAAAAGGAATAGAAAAAAATATATATTTATGATACAGACCTAACCTTTACATCAGTTTCTTTCTCTCTCTGTATGAGGAGAGAGATGATTATGAGTGAAACCAAGCCAAAGCGTTAGAAACCTTGAGTTGTGTGTACCTGACTGCAAGGGCTTTAGAAATAAGGGAAAGAGAAAGATCAGAGAGAGCATGTCAAGACGGACAGCCCCTCAGGTGCACTTGAAGGCTGCGATCGATTTCAGTAGGTGGAGGGAAGTGTGAGAGAATCCACACAAGGGAATCTTGGACAGAACAGATAGATAATAATAGCCATGCTTTGTTGATCTCCTATTACCCCGCTACGAGTTCAGTTAGACCATTTTTTGTGCACCTGAGACAATCCTACAAGGTGAACATTCCTCATTTTACAGATAAGGAGACTGAGAGGTAGGAGCAGATTTGGCCTCGGAGGTGTTCGATTCTATGAGCTTTCTATTCTGCAAAACTCCTCTTGGTTTACAAGAGGACTCAAGGAAACTTTCAGATGTGAAGGATATGTTCATTACATGGACGGTGGTGAGGGTTTCACAGGTGTGAACATATTTCATCTCTCACCAAATTGTAACACTTTCAATATGTACAGTTCATTGTATGTCAGTTATATCTCAATAAAGCTAAAAAAAACCTGCCTTTAAAAAAAAAATCAAGCAACATTTTAAAACTTCATTGGGTGGGAAATGGGTATACAATATTATTTCAGACCTTTTGTTCATTCATTCATTCATTCATATAGAGATGCTTTGTCACTTACAGTGGAGTTATATCTCTGTA